TTTTTATTAGTAGCAAAATTTTACTATCTATATAAGGTCTTGATTTGCCATGCATATCATATAAAAAATGATCTACATATTCTCTACCTTTAAATACTAATAAAATATTTAGAATCAAAATGTAAAAATTTTATATTTTTGTTAACAATACCATATTATTGTTTATGGTTTAAACCCAATACCAATTAAAATATTTATCACTTCTTATTAATCTAAATCTATTATTACTCGAGTATATTGCTTTTGCACTATATCTCTAATAATATAAAGTATATTTGATGTTATACATGAAAATATGATTCAATATATATACAAAAATTTTTTGTAATAATCAAAAGCTTATGCGTGAATTATTATTATCTTTATAAGAAAAAAATCGACTGGTTAAACCGAAAATTAACTTTATCTGATTGTTTCATTATTGACTAGGATCACTGTTCATTATCCTCTATTGTAGCGTTGTCATCGTCGTCCTCATCATTATCATTGTCATCGTCATCAACAGCTCCATCATCATCAACAACACCGTCACTTTCTTCAATAACACCTTCATCTTCGTACTCTTCCAGTGATATGCGAGAGTGTTTCTCGTGCAATGATCCTTCCTCGTCGTCATCATCGTCTTCGTCATCACCACGTTTCCTTTTCCCTATGAAAACATCCTCCACATCTTCGACAATCTCACCATCGTCTAGTATTGGAATATCGTCACATTCATCTTCCTGTTCCTGTTGAGAATGTGGATAATCTTCCTCATCACTTGCTACTATATCAGCCATATTATCATCGACACTATCATCATCTTCAACAACTTCACCCATTTCCTCGACGCTACCCTCTTCTTCAACTTCACCTGCCTCTCCGACTACAGCACCATCTTCGGGAATGGTTTCTTGTGCGATTTTTTCACTTCCATTTGATGAACCATCTTGCCGTGATGGTGTATCGGAATGATCTTGATAATCTCGCAACACCGGAATTTCATCATCGTTCATAGCTAACGTGGAATCTCCGTTAACAGGACGTGGTGAATTCAGATCATTACCATTAGTTTGTGGTTGATCCTGTATGTTATTCACAGCATCAACATTCTCATGTGTAGTCTCGTCAGTTCCGTTCATTTGTATATCAGGAATTGGTGAACCTATGGGTGATGCGAATTCGCTTCTAATTGATTCAGGTGTTGCATCAGGTTCTTCATCTGCTCCAAGAATATGACGATTTTGTTCTTGTTCGATTTGTATTTGAGATTGTACATCTTGTATAACAGATAATACTCGTTCTAATTGGGCCCTACGACGACTCAAGGTTTCATCGAATAACCGTTCTTTTTCTTCTATTAAGGAAGTTTCTTCGTCCAACTTTGTAATTTCACTAAATAAATACCATAATGCTTTTATTTTATAAATCGAGAAAAATTTGAAAAAAAGACTTTTTATGAATTCAGAAAAAATCTGTTACTTTATAGATTCTTCTCGTGATTGAAGTTCGTTAATTTCTGACGCCAATTGATCATATTCAATCTTGTTTCTACGTATTTCTTCTTCCGCTTCAAGCTCTGCCTCCAGTTTTTCAATAATTATTTTAGTCTCTTCGATTTGCTTTTCTATACCATAAAATAAAATAATCATAAAAGTTATTTAGGATTCTCTACATGTTTTTTATATTAAATTGGGTTGGATTGAATGAAACTATTTATTAAATTATTTACCAATATTCAAAGCTTCTTCTTCCCAATGCTGTGTCTCACGGAGATTCATATCATGAATGACTTGGAACCGTATAAGACCAATTTCATAGGATGAAAAATCAACTATAAAGTCATTAAATTGTACACGACTTTTCATAAGCAAACAAGAATGCATATAATTTAGAAAGGTGTTTCATGTTTGAATATATTGAAAACAAAAAAAAAAGTTTATCGCTCAGCGATGTACTTTATCTTACGTACGCTTCTTTGAGATTACCCATTTCTAACGAATTGAGGAACACGCCCATTTTTCGAGTTACACGACGAAGATTACGTTCGTCAACTGTAAGCCTGTCGCGAATGATTTGTTCTACATGGAGATGAAGAGATCTTTCAGATCGGTTCGTTGATCGTAATAGATCAGGGATAGAAATATCCTATACTGCTTGTATTGCATGTTCGTACCTTCGTCAGCCATTTTAATTCTTGCGCTTAAATTGAAGTTGAATTGTAATATGTACGTATGTTATATTTGTATTGGTTATATATCAATATATAGTTATATAATATAATATATCAGTGATATATATGATATATATATATATATATATTGTTCATATAATTTTTAATTCGTCAACCAGAATTAGGATTGGTGGCTCGCATTATTGCATAGGCAAAAATTTTTTTTAGAATTTAATAGGGCTTAAGAGAAAGAATAAAACTTATATAAAAAAGTACATTCGTTTATATAAAATAATGGCCCTTTATCTTTCTCCAGAATGTTTGCAATACATTCTTACATATCTTGAAGATGATAATCATACTCTGCATTCATGTCTTCTTGTGAACCGTTTTTGGTGTCATAATACTGTCAAAATTCTTTGGAGTCAACCTTGGCGTTCATACGATATTACCCAGGCGTCCGCAACTTCCGCTACAAAGCTGATTCAAACCTATGTTAACTGTCTTTCGGATAAAGTTGTTTTGCTTAAAAATGGTATCAACTATCAAGATTCTTCTACTCCCCAAGCTTATGACTATGCTTCATTCTTACGTGCTCTTGATTACGATGGAATGTATTGGTCCATTTCCCAATGGTTAGATTCTTGTTGGCTCTATCGTATGTTGAATTACGAGGAAGAATTAAAGTCTGATACTGAAAGTAGATTATCATTAGATGATATTGATATTGAGAAACATTGTGAATGTTTTGATGAGGCCGAGGAGAAAGAGAGAAAAACCAATCTCATAGCTAAAGAACTTTGCAATCTATTCATGAGTCGATGTACAACATTTCATAGTCTCCGTTTAGAAACGAAGGCTATTCAAAGCAATTTTCCATTCTTACCTTCGTGCAATGATCCTCGTAATTACTTGTCTAATCTTCGTCAACTTATCTGTCTTGCGGAATATAAATCAGACCTTCTTATTGCAATATCACGAGTATGTAAAGATTTACATAGGATTTGTGCAGGATTTCCATTTTCTGTTCTATGGAAATCCCATTATGAAACAGATGCTCAAAACTTGGTAACTCTTGCCGAAGCTCAAAGTTTGGTAACTCTTGTCGAGGCTCAAAATCGTTTACAAAGTGTTTGTCTTTTTGGATACAAACGATTCGTTTCAGTTATAGTAGATGCACTCAAGCGACATGCTGACTCCCTGACTTCTTTAGAATTAATGTATACGGATTTTCGAGATAATGATGATTTTTCAAGCTTAACGACATTGTCTTTATGCAAAAATTTGAAATCATTAAAAATTCACAATTGTTTTATCCCGCCTAATAATGAATTAATGCCATTAGCTTCATTTTCCAAATTGGAAGAGTTTGATTTTTGTAATGAATGGAATCCACTTTATCCACTTCCTCAACGCGAATTTTGGGAAGTAATGTTTCACAACACAAAAAATACTTTACATAAAATGTCCCTTTGGTGGTTACGAGCAGATCCAAAAGATGGGTTTTATCAGATAATTGAACCAATAGCAAAGCAATGTTCAAATATAAACAATCTTCATTTGCCCGTTTTGTGGATAAACGAAATTTTTATTATATTAAATTACTGCACACAACTTAAAGAATTTTTATTTAGTGGTGACGATTTTGACGCGAACGAATCATTAACACAAATGGGCAAACTAATTCCTGTAACTCTACGGTCTTTGACCATAAAGGATGGGCATATGGGAGGCTGGACATTCACAGAAAAATCTCTTGAGTGCTTTCTTAAAAATTGCAATGCCTCGTTGGAGATAGTCGATTTGACATTTTGTAGTTGTGCAACTGATAGACATTATGAAATATTAAGTCAACATGGTATAATCACAGGTTTAGTATAAATTTTTGTATTCTTTAATACTTGTATAAATCTTTTTTTAATTCCTAATTTCATATAAGAAATGTGACATAATAGAATATTTTATAGAAATGTGAAAATATAGAAATAAATATTTTTTATTGTATATACGTTTTATTCTAAAAAAATAGTAGAGCGCGTTATTAATAGTTTGTGGTTAACCTGTTAAATAACAAAAAAATATATAATATATATCTCTGGCCAGAGATGCTAGAAAACCCTTGAAATTTATAGCAAATTTTGGCTAACGTTAAAAAATTTTTACCGGTCCCATGGATAAATTTATTTGAGTACTGTTCTTGATAGGGTTCTAAAAACGAACCCTAATCTTAATTTTTTTCTATATGCATTCTTGATATAGTAGTATAATAGTTTAGAGGCCCTTTTTTAGAACCCTATCAAGAACAGTATATTTTTGCGTCCGACCAACCAATCACATTAATGTTTTGATTTTTTGGTACTGTACGTGATTTTACGCGTAAATTGTTTACATTTTCGTATATCTGATATAAAAATATACTGTAAAATAAAATTTTCATCTTTGATTAACTGGTGATTTTATAGAGTCCCGAAGCTATACCGTTTTCATTAAGTATGGATAAAGAAAATAAGAAAAAGATTTATGAGTATATTCATAATAACTCTGTTACACCGACACCACAACCAAAAGAACAATTACCAAAGCGTCCTGTTCAAATACCAAAAAAGTTTCCTAAACAGCAACAACAGCCGCCACCAAACTTGTCATTACAAAAGTCGTCGACTAATGGCGAGCAAGAAATTGATAAACGTCCTGTGGCAAAAATGACTTATGAACAAGAACAGGCTGAGAGACGTCGTTTATTGGAAGAGTTTAAAAAGAAAAAAGAATTAGAAAAACAAAAAAAAAAGTAAACAATCTTTTCTATAATCATCGCTTATAGGTATTAAATATACGGATTATTTAAAATTATACGAAATGTTTAATTCTAATATATAGGAATGCAAGGCCAACTACAATAATCACCAGATCAAAATCGAAAGAAGTTTCAAAACCAATTCCAAAACACAATGTGGTGGTTTTAGATAGTGCTAAACCAATCCAATATACTCCCAAAAATCAAAAATTGTTACCACGCAAAACTTCTTTCACGGGCAGGGAAGAAACACCTATTTCATTTTCAACCATACATTCTTTTGGAAAAGCACAGCGCGTATTGCCGTTAAGCAAGACAGCTGACGTTCGAAACGATGACCATATTCCGTTAGAAGAACAATTGACGCCAACAAGGTCACCTTTACCTGAACTGCTAACTAATCGTAGGCGTTCTAAAATATTTCAAAGTCCAGTGGGAAACGTACCTGGGAAAGCTAGACGCGTAAAGGTATCAATATTAAAAGAAGCTGATAAGGACAATTCAGATGCAACGCCCACATTGCCATTAGAATTTACTACACCTACGCAATCGCCATTGAGAACGTCAATATCTCGTCGGCGTTCAAGGATATATTCTAGCCCGACTTTAAATATTTCGGGAAAACCTAAACGCGTTAAAATAATAGAATCAGTAGAAGGTCTTGGTGATGAAGGAAGAGTTAAAAATGATGACCTGGATTTCACCAATACAAATGCAATCAATTTAACTCCACTAAATCCTCGCAAGCGTTTGTCAATATTCCCTAGTCCATCGGTTGAAGTGTCGGAAACTTCACAACAGTTTGTAAAGATGATAACAAACAAAGATCTCAATGATGACAGAGACAAATTGGCTTCGGAAGATAAAATACATGAATTCTTTAACTCACAATAGGGTTGGTAATGTCCTTAGGTCCGGGACTTTAGGACCTAGTCTTTAAAGACCAAGTCCAAATTTAAGGACCTAGGGTTCTTATGTCTTTAAAAAGTCCCAATACAAATTTATAATTGCATAATTCTGGACAACCTAATCACAGTATCATTTCAATAAAGTTTTAAATACATAGTAGTTGTTATTATACATTCTAATGCTAATAGATAAATGTCAATACGTACATTGTGAAGGTTTAGAGTTTGGAACCGGTTTTGACATATGAAAAATTAAACCGGTTCCAATGATCTAAGCCATAAGACTCGTGACTTTAATGCGGAAAAGTGATACCTGTACCTAGTGTTGTCACTTGGATAGAGTTTGACACTAAATAATACTAAATAGGGCAAGATTTTATTATTGTGACCCGCCTTCAATTATTAATTAAAGTTGTTCAGAATTGATTTTTGCATATATGAGTGTTTTTAAGATTGGATTTGTAAGCCAGATGAGATTCGGACAGTCCGCCGGACAGTTTAAAAAGGCTCGGACATCCAATATCCCGGTAAAAATAAAAATTTTAAAAACTTTAAGCAAAGATATCTCGACAACTACCTACTTGAATCTGATAAAAACTTTTAGATTTGAATTCTATAGATTCATAGAATTCAAATAAAAAAAAATCGTCAAATTTAGTCATGTGGTTGTTGAGATATCTTCGCTCAAAATTAGAGACAAATCAAACCACCTATTTGCGCCAAATTTCTAACTTTGAGCAAAGATATCTCGATAACTATCTGACCAAATTTGATAAAACTTTTTTTATTTGAATCCTATAGATTCATAAAATTCAAATAAAAAAACTTTTATCGAATTTAGTCAAGTGGCCGTCAAGGTATCTTCGCTCAAAATTAGAAAAAAATAAAACGCCTATCAAAATAGAAGCTACGCCAAATTTTCTTTCTAACTTTGAGCGAAGATATCTCGATAACTATTTAACCAAATTCGATAAAACCTTTTTTATTTGAATTCTATGGATTCATAGAATTCAAATAAAAAAATTTTATCACATTTAATCAAGTGTTTGTCAAGATATCTTCGCTCAAAGAAAAAATCAAAATGCGTATCAAAATAAAATCTATGCCAAATTTCTTTTAAACTTTGAGCGAAGATATCTCGGCACCCACTTGACTAAATGCAATGAAATTTTTTTATTTAAATTTTATGAGTGCATAAAATTGAAAGAAAAAAAGTTTTATCGAATTGGACGGACCATTATTGAGATATCTTCACTCAAAGTTAGAGTGAAAATTTTTATTTTGATAAGCGTTTTATTTTTCTCTAATTTGGAGCAAAGTTACCTCGACAGCCACTTGACTAAATTCGATGAAAATTTTTTATTTGAATTCTATGAATCCATAGAATTCAAATAAAAAAAGCTTTCTCGAATTTGGTAAGATAGTTATCGAGATATCTTCGCTCAAAGTTAGAGAGAAATTTGGCACATATATGCATTTTGATTTGTCTCTAATTTTGAACAAAGATATTTCGACAACCACATGGCTAAAATTTGATGAATTTTTTTTTATTTGAATTTTATGAATCCATAGAATTCAATCTAAAAGGTTTTATCAGATTCAAGCAGGTAGTTGTTGAGATATCTTCGCTCAAAGTTTTTAAAAATCTGAAAAATTTTAATAAAAAAATAAATATAAAAAACAAGCAAGATTAAGACAAAAATTAGAATAAAGCTTTAAAAATTTTTGAAGATAGTATGAATATTAATCTTAACTAGTTGGTAAAGATAAAGTTTTTACAAATCAAACCAAATTAAACTTTAAATGAAGTTTGGATTTAATTTGATTTTCAAATCAAATTTAAACTCAAATATTTTTCAAAAAATATAGTTGAGTTTAATTTGAAGTCAAATTTTTTAATTAAGTTTAATTTAATTTAATGTTTGATTTGAAAGTTTGCAAATAAGCTTGAATAGTTTAAGTTTGATAAGATTTAAAAAATAATTTGTTTATTTAAAATTTTATTTACAAACCAATATAGTATTTATAGACTTGAAATTTGAGTTTTGCAAGTAAATATAGAGGCTTGTTAGTAGAAAGAGAGCTAAAAGTTTTTAGTAAATTTTGAATTAAATTATCTTAACAACTACTAAATCAAATTTAATAATTTTTTTTTATTTTAATTTTATATATACAGTATATGGAATTAAAATAAAAAAATTATTAAATTTATTTTATTTTATTTTTTCACTGTTAAAGTAACTTTTTGGTGGTAATTTTTTATTAGAAGTTTGATTTTCAGTTACAATGAGGATATATCAAGCCACATATGTACTTTTGGTGTTTAATTTAAGTAATCTGCTCAAAGTATTAGTACTTTTTTTTTTTTTTTTTTCTTTGATAACTGCATACTAAAATTTTATTAAATGTATAATGCTTAATACAAGACCAAGCTACTTTAATAGGGAATTAGACTAAAAGCC